TAAGAGCCAAGCTTCAAATTAAACGCAACGGAAACACAGAGGTCCCACTGAGTCTACCACACCATCCAGAGAAAGGAGACACGTTCGCGCCAGCGCTTTGTGGAGGCAAGCATGATCGGTGACTGCTGCAACTAGCAGCTCACGCATGCCCAGGCTCGTTGCACATGAAAACTACCCCGGGCTGTGTGCTAAAGCCTAAAGCCTAAATGTAGTCAACGCCACAACAAACCCTGAAACCCTGCAGCTTTCAAGTCTACTCCGCAAAAGAAACCCGGCATGCCTCCTTCGACCGCTGGTACACTATGGTTCCCCTCGAAAGTCTTATGTAAACACTGAACTAACATCCTATGAATCCCTACACTGCACTTCTTGCCAAAAAGCACTTTAACTTACAAGACCTGCATTCTTAGGGTTTAAGGTTTAGGTGGTGTCGAGCTCTTGGAGCCACTCAGCCCACAGACACAACAGTCCAAGCTTAGGCAACCCAGGGGCTGGAACAAAACCCCTACTCGAAGCTTCGAAAGCTTGGAGTAAAGCTCACGGGAATTAAATTGAACTCCGAACCACAAATCCCAAACTCTCAAGGTTCATGACATGACAGTGCCGGCCACGGTTCAACTACAAAAGCGCTAATCACCCCAAGTACCTGAAGCTCCGACATGAGGTTGGGAAGAAGCAACCAGCGAAAAAAGACAAATCAAACGGAATGTAAGCACTGCTATCTATACTCTCTACAGTACTCCATTGTTGGGTTGCCTTATAATGTCAACCTCGTAATATTTAGAATCCCCTGCGTACTTGCCAACTCCAATTCCCAGCACGTTGTTGGAACCAACCCGTATTTGCAAAATCCAAGCGGCCGCAGCGGAAAACATGTATATAACCAGAATTTCGTTCGTATAGATGAAAGCTCAGAGGAACCGAAAAGGATTTAAGGCTCGTGGAGGTCAATGGTTGTGATGCTGGATCCGGACTCTTATTACGGAGGCTGGAGGGGGCTTTTCTCAATGTGAAGTGAAAATTAAGATTGAGCCGTAAACATTCGGATCCTCCTGTACAGCTCCTACATACATGCTTGTGAAACCCTTGCAAAACCCTAGTACACCCATCAAGGCTCGTAAGGGTGCGAATCAAACCCGAAGTATGAAACGTGCACGCTCTTAGGCTCGGGGCTTCGAGCAGGGCACGCGCTTGTCAGCCCGCTTCCACTGCGGCCTTCTCTGGACAGCTCTTCGGAGTACCCTGGGATGATTTTGTCCTGTCTGTGCTCGGGGTCCCCAAACCCTAAAGCTTGCGATAGGCTTGGGGCTTCTTTTTGCCTCCCGCCTGGCTAGGACGAAACCTGCGACTTAGGGCTCCCGAGGTTTTAGGATTTAGCACTTGGGGTTCAAGATTGTTGGCTTAGCGGTTGAAGGCGCGCCACAGCACTAATGGTTGCGGCGTGTTTGCCCAAAAACCACGAAGCTACCACGACCGTATTATTGGCAGCGCCGAAATCGGGAAAGCATCCATAACATTCTAAAGACCCTGAGCCCAAACCTTAAGTCATGGACAGTGCTAGTGTCGGTGCTTCGGTGCTCGAGGGACCAAGGGCCTCTCCGGCTATGGCTCCACAGCCCAATCTAGAATCTAGAACTTGAACCCTCGCGGCCCGAAGTAACTTATTTGACACTACATCCTGGGTACCCAGGGCCCTTAACTTGAGCCTAGACCCTGAATGTTCAGGGCCCTTATACAACTTAACCCTAAACCCGAAAAGCTCTTGTCCCCTAACTTGAGTGCAGCAGCACCAGCGACTGGGGGAATTCCAAGGCGCAAAAGACTCCACGAGCTTCCCATTTGTTGGCACGCAAAGAGACCTCTACTGGTTCACCTCTGTGCCTCGAAACTTCCGGGGTCTTAGGGGTTTAGGGGTTTCGGGCTTCGCTGCTGAAGGGGTTTGAGGGGTATGGTTTCGACACTCACGACGACGAACAAGGTTCAGAGCGGCTGCCCCAGACTATAGGACACAAGATCCCGAGGTGAGCGACGAGTTGAGCCCAAGGCCGAGATGTATGCTTACGCTCAGTTTGCAAAACCTACTTGTGATATGTGGTCTCCCTTTAAGATTCAACGCTCCGCACTCCGTCAAAAAACTCTGCACGTGCTTTCGGATGTCCGCATGGTAACTTTGGGGGGATCCTGCTGCTGCTTCTGCTCTTGCTCTAGCTCCTGTCTTGTTTCTGCCCTTGCTCTCGCTCTTGCTCCTGGTCTTGCTCCTCGGGTTCTCAAGGGATTTCGCAAAAGTAAAAGGGGAATTGGCTATCTGCGAGGATCTTAGCTTTGCGAGACAAAGGTGGCCCTTTCGAGGCCACGCAGGCAGACGTCCAAGACGAAAACAAGCCAGGTTGCCGCCAGGGCATTGCCGGATTACTATCACGCCACCCTCGTCTCGAATGTTGCTCGGAATGGCTGCCAAAGACGACCTCGAATTCGCCCCAAACTGAAGTCTCACGTGGGAAAGTATGTTAGACCGCCTGAAATTGCATTCCGTAATTTGTGCCACTTACATGACATTAGTTTCTGGTTCACTCTGCTGGTTGAGTTGAAAGCTCCTTTGCAGCATGTGTCTGTGTGTGGAGCTAAAGGTCTCGAAATTTTCGGCGGCAACGCTGGTCCTATACTGATCACGCAGATTATTATGTCGCAGAGTCTGCCTTTGTCCTGTGCCCTTGCCGGCAACCCAGAGATAGTATCGGATGCAAACTGCATTCAGCGGCTGCCGGGCAAAAAGTGCTCAAATCTAAAAGAGCCACCCACAGGAACTCCGCAAAACTAATGCTGACAGCCTCTTCCTAAAGCTGTCATCTCCTTCGTCGAGTCCTATATCCGTCAAAGGTATCGACATGTCCCGACGGAATTGTCATCCAGCGACGCACCGTTGGCTGGGGCTCGTCGTTGAACCCGGCAAGTCTGTGCGGCGCGCAGCAACATTGGTCATGAGCCCGGCATCCCCAGAATCCTCTGCATCCCCTCCCCCGCATGCAACCTCCATGTTGGATTAGCTATGATTGTGCACCAAGCCCCCCAAGCCTGAAGCCCAAAACCCAAAACCAGAAATTCCTACGCACTCTACACCCTCAGCACCAAGTTCCATGCACTTCTCCGAGTTTCCTGAACTTCCTGAGCCTCACAAGGGAACACAGGGTCGAAGCAACTGGGTCCTAAACCCTGCGATATTTGTCTCTCCAACTCACAAGCCGAGCTCATGCCAGGGCCAGCATAATAGTTCGGGGTGTGCCATCCTTATAAAGCACAAAATGCAGTGAGCCGGCCATGGCTCTGCTTGGGAAACAAGAGCTCCGGCCCTCGACGGGCGTTTCAGGCACTAGAGTCACTAGGCCGTACCGAACCCTAGCGTAGAGTCCCCGAGAGTGACCAAGCATCCTTACCACGAACTTTGCGTTTCCGAAAATCTAAAATGGGGGACCCTAATATAGTACCCTAAATAGTAGGGTCCTCATTAGAGGGACCCCGAAGGGACCCCCAAATAAGGTACCCCGAAGTTTCGGAAACTCCCAAGTACCACGGCGAAGACCCCGACTCGCCCATACCCTTGCGCCGTGCCGATGCATTTGTAGTGCTTGCATAACCTCTGGAAATCTACTTAAGGCGTACGGTTGCTCCGCATCGGGATCCGTGGATAAGCATGGTTTCGACATAACTCTGGTGCAGACACTCCAGAGTGTAGAACAAGCAAGACTGCTTCAAGAATATGACTGGGCTGAATCTGGTTTACTTAGTGAAAGGATTCCGGGGAATGCGTGCAAGTTTAGAGTTTAGAGGAACCGGAGCTCTTGTGTTGAGATACAATACCTACGCCGTGCCCACCAGATCACATCCGACCTGCCAGACGGCTGGACGGGAAATAACGCCCAATCTGCAGCCGTTGGAAGCCGGAACCAATGTCAGCACGGTGGCAAGGCTGTGATTACGTGCCTTCTGGCCGCTAGAAAGCCAGGCAAAACTATGAGCTTCCAGCTGAAATCTCACTAAGGCCACTCGGACTACCCAGTACTTACAGGCCCAACATTATCACACACTTACAACTCGAACTAGAGACTACGATGTGTCCGGGCATGCTCTATTGTTAAGCTCCGTCATGTGCCGCGCTCTACTGTACAATCATAACCTCTTATACTAACAGATGTACGAGGAAAAACGGATCAACATGATTTCTGCAAGCGTGCTATAACCTTCGAGACTGTGCGATGAAACCGAAGAAGGAAAGGTGAAAGGACCCTGTACTGTCAAGTCACATCAGGCCCATCATGAGGCACTGAGCGGAAACAAATCTGAAGTAGGGTGTTCGACTTTGAAGTAGGGTATTCGAATCTGAAGTAGGTAGTCCCAAACCAGCCCTGTACCCCACATTTCCTGATCTCGAAAGCCTAAATCTTAAACTCCTACTCCCACTAAAATCCTACAAAATCTCGGCCCTCCCTTAAACTCTACTTATAACTCTAAACCCTGTAAGCGCTGAAACCGTAAAGCCGAAAACTCTATTGGAACACCAATCAACCCCGACCCTAAGGACCCCTGCTGACTCTGGTCCTCCATCACCGCTACCGCTCTTGCAATGCCTCCCCGCGGAGCTGCTCGCGAGTTCCCGATCGCCGGTCTCCGAACTTACGGCTGGCGCTTTTCCGTTGTCTATGCCCCGGGCTGTTTTTTCGACTCTCTCAGATTTTTGGGGGTTGTTCAGGGCTGCTTTCACGCTCTTGGAGTTTGAGGGTTTTTGGTCTCAAGGAGGCAGCCTCCCACAAGGTGGTGCGGTGCAGGGCTTTCGGGGTTGAGGGCTTGGGGTTCGCGGCTTAAGGGGCTGGGGTGAAGTTCCGACTCCTTAAGTTGAGAGTAGGGGGCACAAGTAATGTGATCACCTTTGGGAACACTCGGCCCATGTTGAGTATCCGGGAACCGTCGAGCAAGCGCGAGGCGAGGCATGCATGAAGTTGGTACCGTCACAGGCTAATACGGCCGATGACGTTGTAGATGTCCGGGTCGTTCTCGAAACCTCACGGCAAGGCTCGGGGATGGGTTGAAGAGACAGCAAGATTGAGGCTATGGCTTCTAGAAAAGCCGCTCCTGAAGGGACACATCCTGGAACAGTCCCAATAAACTACGCAGCCCAGAAAACTGAGAAGCCTGTAGGTACTGTTCTTGAAGTCTTGAAGCATAGCACGAAAGCATCCCTCCGCTACCCCAGGCCCTTCTGGCCTTCATGTTCAGACAAGGTCTGGTTCCCGAGCCTTAGGTAGGGCACGGACTGCCAAATGTGGCTGGTGCTTCGGATACACAGCCCCACATTGAGAAATAGGATTGGTTCCAGAACTTTAAAAGGGTGGGTGAAAATCTGCCACCAGGACCCCAACGGCGAAAAAACTTGCGGCATTCCAGAGCTTACAGCGGCATGACCCTCGCCAGACCGGCGACCACACATCACCTGAGCCTCGCGATACGCACACCACAGCGGCGGGAGCACGATTGCAACCTTTGGAAATCCAGTGAAAATTCTATTTTCCAATCACTCCTGCAACGGCAGGGAGTTGAATAGTGTGGCTCTGCCGAGATCGACCTGAGAGACTTCGAGAGGTTTGAAGGCCGAAATGCGTAATTACTTGACTTTGGTGGGGGCAGGATGCCAGATTCCCGCCCCACAACATGCGGAGGACCATAGCGAGAATGCAACTATAGTCGACGCCGGGGGCCTAGTGGCATTGCCATGTAATCCTTCACGCTCAACACAAGGGCCGAATCGCACTACCACTGTTACCACAATGCCTTGTGTTCTGTGTCATTGCCTTGTCTAAGGCTACGCTAGACCCTAAACCCGAAACACTCGAACCCTGCAGCCGCCCCTGAACCTTGACAAAGTGACCCCGAAACCATCCGAAACCCACAGTCAGGAGCTCCAACTAACAGACTAACAGCCTTGACCGGAACTACGGAGACGAATATAAAACATGCGGATGTTTCAATGTCTATATACATGTTGTGTAGTGAACCGCTTTTAAGCATACGGAAAACTTTAAACATGACTTGTGCACCACCTCCGTGGCCTTGGCAGACGGGCCGCTCTCCACTTGAATAAAAAATACTCACCGCAGAGGGCTTAGAATGTTAGGGTTTTTTCATGGCTCGGGCTCAGGGATTTCGGATTTGGAGTTTAAGGGTTTGCTTTGGGCTGTCGATGTCTTTGGGTTTTGACAGGGTTTTGTGGTTTCAGTCTTCAGGATCGCTCAGCCTGAAACCGTGCAGGACTCAGACTTACCAAGACAGTGGGGAGCCCTAAAGCTTCATGGACCTGGAACCTCCCTCAAGTTGTAAAGAAACGGCCCGAAACTCCCGAAACCCGCAGGCTCTGAACTCAAGGATACCTGGACCACAAAAGTATGTAGAAGAATAGCCTTGAATAGGTTTTGGGCCATTATTAAATACTTGTGGGGGTCTATAGGTACTGCCGAGGTACTCCCATTTCCAGATGCGAAGCGGGGGAGGCTCCTTTCTGACCTGGGATGGGCGGTTTAGGGTTAACTTACAGGGAACATCTGGATTCGATGGTAGGGCCGTGGCACGGCCCTGAAGTTCCCGCGCGATACAGCTTCCCCAAAGAGCTGAAGATCCCCGAATCAAGACAAGACCGGACAACGCCGGAGCCCTGCTTAGAGGATCTGGCGGAGGGCACGGAGACAACCGCTCCGCCTCCAACAAAATGACCCACTGGGGTGCCGGCTGGGGGTCGGGGTGGCCCAACTCCACAAGCCGATGCACCCCAAGGCGGCGTAGTTATGAAACCGGCTCTATACGCTCTCACAACTCGGACAAACCAGGGGAGGTGTCTCGGTTCGCAGTCGGATAACGGGGCAACGTATATGTGTGTGTGTGTATATATATATATATATATACGTATGTATGTATGCATGTATGCATGTTGGACTATATAAGGCTTTAAGCTTAGAGTGATAAGTATCCTAAAGCCGGTCCGAGCCGGCTTAGAGCCATACTCATCACTGCCAATTCCTGACCATCATACCAAGTCCCTTTAGGCTTCAATGTCAAGTAGCATTCTAAACTGTTTGTGGTCTCCGTGAGTCGGCGGAAAATGAACCCCTCACAGGAGCAGCTAACCCAAAACACTGCGGTTGCTGTGCTCGGCACGGGCATCTTCGTCCAAGGCTTTCGAGCCTGCGTGTTCTGTGTATGCGTGCATATGTACACACAGATGGAGAGAAGACTGTAGACAGGATTGCAGGCGCGCCGAAAGGTTCCAACTTCTTTCGTCGGCAGATCGCGAGGCGAGAGGATGGGTCGATGGGTCGGACAACATGGGACTTGCAGGTAGCTACTTCGGGAAATCATAACCCCAAGCATAACCCTAATTACTAAGTCGCCTGAACCCCTAAAGTAGGGATCCCTAATTCAGACCCGAAAGAACCCCCTGAGCCCTACAGCCCAAACCCATGAACCCCATATCCGCATCTGTTGCTGGGCTCATAATTCAAGTTTACATAATAATAGGGAAACCATATTTTTTGCAACAGACTCCGATTATAAATTCGGCTAACTTAAACAGGCTTTCTTCGACCTCCAGCATCTTAAAGAAATCCCGGGATCGGGGCCTGAGGTGGCCGGTCGATTGCATCCTTGCCGCAAGTGGTCATGGCTTTCGATCTACAAGTGTGTGGCTGTCAAAATTATAGTCCCTTTTTGGGTAGGTGCCGTATTATATTAGGGACCCCAACAGGGGTCCAAAATTCTGACAACCACCCAAGTAAGTGTCTACGGCTCAGGATTTGTGCTGTGAAGCCTCAGGAGCCTGGGGTTAAGATTGATGAGGCTTGAGGCTGCAAGGTGCAGGGATATGGGCTTCAAGCTTCATTTGCCTCAGGGCTTAGGATCTACAGGTTAACATCTAAGAGTTCGAAGAGCTTGGGGTCTGGGGCGCTTGGATTTCAGGGCTCGTTCCATGAAAGGGCGTCGCACGCTCTCAGGTTTGGGAACAGGCGTGTGAGCCCCCAGGCACTAAAGCCATATCCCCCGCTTCAGAATTAGTGGCCGAATCTGAAGAACGCCCGATACCGGACCACGATCGTGGGTCTGGATACTTAGAAACGGATCTTCTTCCAAACCCTTAGTATTTCTATATGCAAACCATAAACCCAAAGCCGTATACGACCTAAGCCCTAAAATCCGAAGCTTAGTGCCCTCAAAGCAACAAACCTACACCCCAATCCCAGGTATGACTGGGGGCTCGGGAACCCAAACCGCAACCCCAACTCCGTGAACCTGAACCTGAAGAACCACAATCCCAAGCTCTCAATTCTGAAAACCCTAAGCCCTCAGGGTTTCGGGCGCAGCGCTTAGCTGCGCTTCTCCGGCCCAGCCTCCTCCAGGTCTTCCCGCCTCAGTTCTCCGCAGCAGAATTCGAAACCGGTGCGGGGGTTTAGAAGTTGATAGGGTTATCGGGGTCTCTGTGCGCTTTTTCTTCCCTCCTACTTGGCCAGGACGAAGCCCGCATTGCAGGGTACTTTGTGCGCTTCGGGTTTAGGCTTTTGGGGGACTTGGCATTACGACCCCACGGGACTTAGCGTAGGTATCAGAAGACTCTGCTGTGGGATTCCCGGGTCACCCTAATGTAGGGGCCTTCATAATTAGAATAGAATTTTGGGGGCTCATTAGTGTAGTTACAGTAGAATATAGATAGCCCCCAACCCCATTCCAATTATTAAGGCCCCTATCACCTCAAAAATCGCTGTTTTCCGCTGTTGACGATGAAACTCTTGGGAGGGCTGGAGGCCGAATTAAGGCTTAGTAGCAGGCGCTTTCGCTTGCGGGCTCTAAGGGTATTCCTGCCGCGTTTCTACCCAGAGGCCCCAAAGTAGTTCATTCTATATATGAGCCCCAAAAAGGAACTACTTTTGGGCCTTTGGGTACTTTTGTGATGATAGTATGATGTACCCAACTCCTGATTCTGACTCCTGAGGCCGCTACAGCATTGGGAGCACTGGCGGAAGGGTTCACTGCCCTGACTGAATCGCCGATATCCCTTAAACCCTCACGTTCATGGGAGTTCAGGGTGTCGGGTTACAAGATCTACTGCCGGGCATGCAGCTTCAACTCCAAATGCACATGATCCCGACGTAGAAATGGCCTACCCTCAAGGCTTATATAAAACCCTAAACCCTAAACCCCGCAAAACCAAATGCCGCCTGGCTGCCATACCTCAACCTGGCTTTGGATTCGGGCGGGCCGAACGATAACTCGCTTGAGACTCGGCCGCGTCTTGAAACTGTATCCTCAGATTTTGACAACGCGGGCGGCACTCGGGCTTGCGTGGGTTGGGGTGAGATGCACAGGGCTCGGCGAGCAGATTTTTGGGGTGACCTATAGGAGCCTTGCTGACAATTAGAGGGTGTATTGTTCCATGGTTTGATATGGGACCAGAACAACGAATAGTATTTGGCATTTATGCAGGCTTCTATACTATCGGCTTGGAGGTTTGAGTGTCGTGCACACAAGCAGGCGAAGACTACACTTGAAAAAACACTGACAGACCTGACCTGCAGATTCCTGCTCATTGAATTAGGATTTCCTGATGAATCTCTATATATGCGCGAATCCGCACGGTAGACCAAGCATCGTCAACCTTGCCCGCCTTACCTCACAACTCAACACTGCAAGCCTTGGCTTCGAATGCCACACGCGCAGCCCAGCCCTTCAGCTCGAGCAGCCCGTCATAGCATCTCGGAATCGACCGGCAACCTCAGGCGTGAGGAAGCCTCAGCACACGTTGAATGCTTAGGGCCAAAAGAGCTTCGGCTGCGGATTTGGAATATTTTTCGGAAGCAAGTTTGTGTTATTGACACCTCGGGTAAGGCGGTGCAGGCTTTCAAGGCAGTAGACCAGCGGCCAATTTGGTGTCAAGAGGGGGCTTCCGTGTAAGCCAACGGCACACACGCAATAATCATTGTTATTCGGGCATCCAGAAAGCAAAATAATACCAATGGAAAGTGAATATGAGGAATTCTCACAATTCCGCAGAGCTTGGAGAAGCACTACTTCTCATAAAGGAACAGCACTGGGGATTGGTGCTTTCTTGGTTCAGGGTTCGTAGGTCTGTCGGTCACCGCAAGAGATTCTTATGGCATGCTCGTGCTTGTCGACTGAGCCCGACACCGATGAAAGCATAGCCATGATTCCGCGACTGTCCATGCGACTTCTGCGGCAAGTGGAAGTAGCACATCTGACCTGCTGAGCACATCTTATTTTTCGGGATCAAAGGCTGTGGATTCAAGTTGTTCGCAAGGGGCCCGAACCTCAACACAGTCGAGGATGCGCTAAACTATGCAGCGAGCATCTGACGAAATACGCCCAAGTCAAACCAACCTTTGTCGCATAGGCCTACTTTGGGGTCATCCGTGCGACCACTCATATCTCGATTTGTTGATATCTGTGTCATATGCCATGTGCATATATATATATATATATATATATATATATATATATATATATATATATATATATACGGCGATGATTTTTAAATACCCGGACATCTAAACAAGTTAAACAGGTGTGTCATACTACTTCCGTGGGCATTGTCTCGGAGGCTGGGAAGGCTGGAGGGCTGGAAGGCTGGAAGGCTGGAGGGCTGGAAGGCTGGTAGGCTGGAGGGCTGGAAGGCTGGACGGCTGGAGGGCTGCAAGGCTGGAGGGCTGGACGGCTGGAAGGCTGGAGGGTTGGCAGGCTGGAAGGCTGGAGGGCTGGAAGTAAACACCCGGAGCTAAAACATACGGATTAAAACAGGTGTCTCATACGACCTCTGTTTGGATCTTGGGTTGCCCGCCCCCCACATGTTTTAAAATTCTCACCGTATATATATATATATATATATATATATATATATACACATATATACACACATATATATACATATATATATGTATATATATATATATATATATATATATATGTATATATATATATATACATGTGTATATACATATATACATACATACATACATACATACATACATACATACATACATACATTACATACATACATACATACACGATTACGTACATATACCTGTACATATACATCTACATGTGCATGTACATGTACATCGACATATACATGTACACATACATACATACATACATATATTTACATTACATTAGATTACATACATACATACAAGCAAACCTCGCTCCAAACGGCTGGCCCGCTCTGTGAGCGGGCCTTCCGAAGTGAAACATGTTCTTCGGACGGGTCCAGGACAAGACAAGCTGTATCGAAACACTGTCGGGCGCCAAACGCAACCAAAGAAGAACACTGAACAACGATGGTAGAACTAGATGATCAAACAGAGGATCAATGCACGGCCTCATTCAATGCTTATCGGAAGGTTTTTGACCCAGCCCCTGCCCGGCACCTGCAGAATTCATATTGTATTGTTCATTCCAGCATGCTTTGCAGATACCATGGAGTCCTGAATGCTTACACAGAAAGTGGGTCACGAAATACAGGAGTTTGCACCCGAACGGCGATGATGATGATGATGATGATGATGCTGAAACGGATGCTCATGGTACAAGCGATGCTTCAGGCTGGAATTCAACAGTAATCCACCTGGGTCGAAATGATGCAAGGAAGTCTTTCCCCAAAGCCCCGCGCTAAAACTCGGATGATTCTAGTTTATGCTCGGAGTGCCGTGGCCTAGAAAGCCCAGCTCCTCCACTGCGGAAACCAGCTCGCTTTGTGTCCTCGGGCTTCTTGCATGAGGAGTGTGCGGCTTAGAGCCCCCAGTAGTGCACGAGCTTTGGGCGTAGAGCGGTCTACAGTACAGGAGGTTCTTCAGGGGCTTTAGACTGGATCTCGAGCACTGCAGGTGATTTTACGCCGCCGTGCATCGCCAACAAATGGCTAGCGATTTCACGGGAAACTAAGCTGTCCCGCTATCACTACTGCTGCTATCCACTCTTTTACCCGCTAATAAACCTAGATATTGTTACTGACCGTATTAGTTGTCGTCGGAGTCACTAGTGCGATCCGCTGCCACGTTCTAACAAAAGACAGTATCAAACGCAGGGGCGGCAGGAACAGTTCTCGGCCTTCAGCGCGCAGGCCGAGCGCATACACGGACACAGCTTAAGGGTGACAGAGATTGTCGTCTTTGACACAGAGGGAGGATATACCAGAACTCCCAAGCATCTGTACCTAGAAAGCTTCAGAGTTTAGAGTGTCGGATGTCGGGCGGGCTTAGGATCCAGAAGCGCATTGTTCTACAAGGCTTAGGGTTCGAGCTGACGAGTTTGTCGTGGCCCGGGTAGTGGGGTCTTTAGTCTGGGATGCTGGCCTTTAGGAACTGCACGGCTTCAGAGAGCGAAGGGCTTCCAAACTTCGGGCTTCGAGACAGGCTGTCTCATCGTCACTGTTCTACGATGCTTCCTCTACAAGCGTCTGTTGTCAGATTTCTATCGGTCGTCTTCTGCAGGTCTCCCCGTTTCTCGATCAGCGGTTCGTATATGTATTGTGTTTTTGTTTCTGCTGGGCAGAGCAAAAAAACAATAACCAACAAGCTAACAGCTAACCCTTTTGGCGATCATCTAAACATTTTACTAGACAATCTTGATCGGAGGGACTGTCACCAAGCCCAAGAAGCCAAACCACAGCCGTCGTGTGTTGTGGCTTTGAATACAAAAACCTTCGCTCAAAATTCGGAACCGTTTGCCGCTTGCCTTACGAGCCCCAGCGCCCTGAGTTGCACGCTAAAGCCTGGAACGCAGACTTTACTTTACCAGAACAGCTCAATCTCAAACTCTCGCTTTCTCTACTCTTCTCTCCAAACCTGCGAGCCTGAATTTCTGGGAGCTCTTCTCCTCACAACCTTAACTTCCAAGCCGAAAGACACCAACCCCAGCAAAATTCAAGCCCTAAATGATCCGAAGCCTTTAATGCCGAAAGACTACATAAACCAACCCAGAACCCCAGAAGGTTAGTGATTCGACTCGAACACATCGGATCCAACCCGGAAACTTCTGGAGCTTTCGATCGTGATGGAGCCGGATGGGTGGTTGTCAAAATTATGGTCTCTTTTTGGGTCCTTATTCTAATACATTTAGGGCACCCAAAAAGGGACCCTAATTTTGACAGCTACCCTGATGGATTCAGGGCTTTGGCGGCTTAGAGTTTCTTCGTGCACCTGTCGATGTGCTGCTTTGAGAGTTTCAGGGTTCGCCGGTTGTAGAGTTTTTGGAGCTTTGCATGGCGTTCACATGTTTTGGACGTATATGGAGGCAGGTCTTGCCAGGGTTTCAATGTCTGTCATGAGGGCTGCGGGGTTTGGACTTTTAAGGTTGGTCTTGGGGCCTGGGTCCAGCAAAATGCTAGCAAGCGGCAGGCGTGCTGGCAAATTTTGAACCATGACGTTGCGAACAATAGACCTCTGCACAGGAACTGCTCAGATGAAAGCACATCGGTTGGGCACGGCAGCAGGCAGAACAAATCAAATCCTACGGCTTGATGCCTGGCGGACGAAGTCCCCTCGTGTCTAACCACAATCTGAATCCTCATATTCCAGCAGTTGACACAACAAGCCCGGAATCATCCAAGGCTCGGGATATCGCTCTAAGCCCTAGGCCCTAGGCCAGATTTGCAAGGTTTAAGGATTGACAGATGTAGCTGTCTGCGGCTCGAGTAGTTTAGAGCCTATGGGTGTCGAGCCTTTATGTGTCTATGATCGAATCTTGTTTGTACGGTTTTGCACGAATCAACTCTCTCTCCTTCGTTTGAAGGTCTCGGGGATGGACAGCGGTATCTACAACAAAACCCAGCGCTGGAATCCAAAAGATGAGTTTGCCACATCAAGGGACAGATACAAACAACAACTACCATGCAAATGCCTAACAAAAGCTCAGATGGGTGGTTGTCAAAATTAGGGTCCCTTTTTGGGTCCTTATCATAATACGGCACCTAATATTTAGGGTACCCCAAAAGGGGGAACAAAAATTGACAACCACACAGATGGCAAAGACTGACTGACGAGCTCCAGGATGCCGCAGGGAGAAGCCCTAAGAGTAAATCTTTGGTCGATGCGAAGGAGTTTCTGCTAAGCAAATTGTGCGTGCTGGCTCTCTCTCCCTATCCCCATACCTCACAGCTAGATGCATCCAACGCTGCGTGCACATGTATGCACGTAGGCATGTAAGTAAGCATGGCATTCTCTAGAAAACGCTCCCATGGGCACTGAGAATTTGACCAGTCTGGCTCCTCGCCGGGCATGTTTCGAAGGAATTAGGGTCCAGGGGCATTGAAGGACTTAGGGGAATGGGAGGCTCGCAACGGACTACTAGGGTTGACGCGCATGGTGGTTTCGGATGGTAACGGCTGAGTCTTGCAACCACCGATATGATCAATGAGCCTTCCAACCAAGATTGTGGTGTCACGATGTTCTGGGGTCCTTGGAGATGCTAAACGGTTTTAGGCTCGTAGTCGCTACAGACAGTTTCATGCAGAGCATGAAAGGGATGTGGACAGGCGCCGACCAGGAGTCGGGAAACGAAACTATGCGAAGCTCAGTTCAGGTGCGAAGGATAGCCAATTACTTCAACAGGTGCGCACAAAAAAAATCTCGACACTCTATTCCAAACCTGGAGCCCTGCTCGTAGGAAGGCTTTCCAAATTCCATGTTTGACAGGTCGATGCAGAGGATGATCTTACTTTGGGGCTTTCACTGTTTGTGCGCGTGGGTGTGTGTTCTTTAAGGATTCCTAAATACATACTTCCCAGATGCCTGAAACGTTCAGTCCTTGGGGCTTGGGCGGCTTGGGGCCCGGGGTAAACCAGCCACTCAGGGATTTCGGGATCAATTCGGTAGCCAAGGTTCGGGGTGCAGGGCTTATAAGGGCTGGGTAGAGAGCACGTCCTCTAAGTTTGTGTTTGGAAGCCGCTCCGTGGCCAACATTGCCTGCGAGAGCACCGGGTTGGGGGTTTGGAGCTGAGTGCTGAAGCCCTGAACAGAAGCCCGAAGCATCAAGCGGAAGGCAGGTAAGAGCTCGCGTATACACCCATGGCAACATGTTGACCTCTTCGCAAAGATGCCCTGCATTGCAGGATGCTAGACTGCTAGAAGTAGGGCACTGGGATTTTTGTGGCTGAGGAGAGCTGGGATCGAGAGGGCGAGAGGGGAGGGAAAGAGAGCTTGGTTCGGGCTCGCGCTGTTGGCCTAAGGCACTGAATGTGGA